TATTGTAATGCTACTAAATCAAGTGGAGATATAATTTTATTCATTTTGAAAGTGATAAAAGTGTCTGCAAAATACATCCAACATATTTGTGAGCAATAACTGAAACGAAGTGATACTTTAAATAGTGACAATAGTAATGTTGTTCTCTTGGGAGCAACAGTGACGACAAATAGTACAACAAATAAGCGATTATCAATAGAGGAAAAAAAAAATTCACAGAAATGTTATTATATTGATTCAATGATGTCATTGAACTCACCACAACAATTTCTTTAGCTTTGTAGGGATGAACAATAACCGGGGGAAAGTCTGTAAGAAAGTTACACAGTTGACTGTGAATTTTACTTCTGATTGTACGGGCACCATATTCCTGTTTAGGGGAGGTAATCCAGCAAGGAACGATATTGTGCGTGTCAACCTGGAAAGAAACATAATAAAAGATGTTAAACAAACCAAGTAAAATAACATGCATACTTGGGCAGTTTATAGTTTGTGATTGATGTCCAGAGGACTATTTTTTTCAATACTTCATTCAAAAGTAATCTTTACTTTGATGGTTGCACAATGAAAATGCATTCTTTTTTAAAATAAATTTTATCAAAATTGGCATCTTTTTCTTTCTTTATTCTAACATTGAAGATGAAAAAAATAAGCAACATTTCCTGCATAGTATACAAAGAGCACTTTGACAGTCATGTCTCCTATTTATTTCCACAGAAACTAAAAGTACAGAGAATACAATAAAACTATTGAAGAGAACAAGTTCTCAACTACAAAACTATTTTCCCACAAGGTCAACACTGTCAGTTATAGATTTCTGCCAAATCATTTCTTCAGATCAAAAATGTAACATTTTCTCATCTTGATAAAGTCCAAAAGCATCTCCACGACCTTGTGGGTGATAAATTCTTTTCCACCCTACGATCCCTTTCATCACAAATAAAGCATCACAATCCTCTCCCTGCTCTATTGCTATTTCCCTGGAAAGTATTCAGATGAACTATATTCCTTTAGTTCTAATCTTCATGGCTAAACACCCACCATGCCATGCACATTGTAGCAAACCACCATCATTCTCTTCATATTCCATTGGTGATATGCAAGTTTCACTCAAGCAGTTTCTTCCCACAAACTGCTGCTTTGAGGAACCGACTCCCAAGAGAATGCTTCTTTGATTACTACAATCTTAACCTGTTTGAATCTAGGGTTGACTGCTATCTTCCTCATATATTCCCATAAACTATAGGTCTTACTCTGTAACCCTCTGCCTAAAGTGACTCTTGGGCCTTGTACAGGGTGATAAAAAAAATAAACAAATAAAAAAAAAAATAATACAATATGAGTTGAGAGGGTTGACTAGTGAAGTGAGGCCCCTAAAAGGCAGGACACAAGGTATTACTATTATAAATGAAAGAATTTCCAATTTAGTGAGAGACTGCAAAAGGCACCTTAAACAGTTCTTAGCAGAGGTGAAAAATTTCTGTGATGATGAAATTATGAATATGCATAAAAGATGGTAGAAGATAGTGGAATAAAATTGTAAATATGTTGTTCAATAAAGTTAATGTTAAAAATAATGTTTATCACTTTTGGGGGAATATTTCAAATTGAATATTTACATTTAACATCATTTCAAGTAAGCAAAAATTCTTAAATTTTATAACCTCAAAGCGGTTATAATCAAACAAAAGGTTAGGTAATTAGTTATCAAGACTTTCTTGAAAATCAGTTCTTTTTATATAATTAGGTAATAAAGATAGGCAGTTAGTGTCATGGTTATCAATATGGATGGTGGAATCAGTGAATTGAGTTAAATTTTGGCCTAGTCTGTAGCATTCCCTTTCCTTGGGAAAGGAATGAATCCATTTCTTCTCCCCTTAGTTATGGGTTAAGTAGCAGAATAAACATTTCTTCTCTCTAGCCTTGAATGGTAACCACTTTAAGATTAAATCTTTTTCTGTGGCTTTGCAGGAAATATTTTTAGAGTGTAAGAATTTTCTTTTTTCTTTGGAGATAATGGTTTAGAAATACAAGTCTTACTAATTAACCCATAACTGGAGGGAGAAGAGGTGGATTCATACCTTTCCCCAAGAGTATTTGCATCTAAGTGAATAGAATGAACATGAAGTTCATTCTATTCACTTAGATGCAAATACTCTATTTGGAACTTGGCTCTCTGATTAACAATTCCTAGCTATTATCAATTACACCACCAACACATCCAAGCTTACAGCACCTGGTATTCCCAAGTGGTTGCAACCACTTTAAGAGAAGAAAAACTGAATTCTAAACTGAAGAAGGCAATGGAAAAACTACTAAGCCATGGCAATTCATAGGTAATAAAAGAAAAGAATCTGTGGAGAGTCAGGATTGCCTATGTCCTGAAGGGTCATGGAATAAAAAAAAAAAAAAAAAAATATATAATCTGTAACAAAATATCTGGCAAGCCATTCTCTAGATTTTACAATTTGCATACAAAGAATTTAATTCAAGTAAATAATGAAAATGTTTCTTATGCTTAATGTGAATATCAGGTGAAAAATAAGTGCTTGAAATATCTTTTTTCATAAAGCTAGGTATCGCCACTAATTTTTAATACCTTGGTTTAAAATGAATTTTTATAAATGAAAAAGCTTTCTTGTAGCTTTCATTTTATCTTTAAAGCTAAAAGGATTAAATTTACTATTTCCAGTAAGCAAAATACTATGGTGTATTTCAAACAGAAATTATATTTATAGAAATTGATTTTTTTTTTCTAAAATAGCTGGTTAGCACTCTTTTTAGTAGTCTTTCAATGCAATGTAATTCTCTGTATTAAAAAAAAATCTTCCAAAAATAGAATATACTTTTCTGAAACTTTATTTGAGGAATATTAACTGATTTAAAGGATAATTAATCCGATTTGAAAAATATTTAAGTTTAAAATAACACCAAAATGTAATTTTTAAAATAAAACAGTAGCTGTTTATTTTAAATGACATTGTCATATTTTACATAACTGACAGGTGCTGATGTAATGAATGTTGCCCTACAGGGAATTTATCTGTAAAACATAATTTAAGAAAATGACATGAGAGCCTTTTTTATAATTTTTCTTGGTGCAAGATGGTTTATAAGTTTTTCAATCTTTGATTAGAAAATATAATTTTCTAATAACAATATCACCTAACCAGATGAGTTTTAAAAGCTTTATATATTATAAATTATTATAATTAAAAAAATTACAAGAATTCTTGTAAAAATTCATCAAAAAAGATTTTTCTGAAGGCAGTAGTGCCCTTAATAAATCTGATTTTTAAAAGCTTTTCTAATTAAATAATATAGTTTCATTGTATTTTTAATTTTTTTGATTAAGAGCACATTTTTTGGAAATGAAAAAAAAAAAAAAAAAAAAATAATTATATATATATATATATATATATATATATAAAAAAAAAAAAAAAACAAGATTTTTTTTTTTTTTTAAAAAAAAAATTTCAAAAATAATTTCATTCCTTTGTGAATAAGTCCTGAAAATTTCATTTAAATATGACAATTATTTGATTTTTGCAAGAATTTCCAAATCAATGTGTTTCAAACCCTGAAAAATAGCTGCTAAAACACTAATCAACCATGGATGCAAAAAAAAAAAAAAAAAATTTTAACCAATATTTTTAAACATACTAGAAACGATTACAAAATTTTAACAGATATTTTTAATGATAAAACTTTGTTTTCATTATCGTTTGGGTCCTTTTATCATCATGCTATGCTGTTTTGCAACAAAAAAGTGGAGGTACCTACATGAAGCAATTTTTTTTCCAGATATATAATCATGTGGTTATTTTTGCTACATGTCAGAGAGGGGAAAAAAATTAGATATTCTAATATATTGATTTGATACTAATGGCATTAGAGAGAGTTTATAGAAAAGAAAAAAAATAAGGATTTATTACTTGGATTATACAATCAGAAGTTCTTAAAAGCACTTCACAGGATGCATAGGGAAGAGGTAATTATAAACAGACAAATCTGTAGAAACAAACGAAAAATTAAAAGTGCTTACTTGACACAGGCCAACAGATTTGGGTAGTTTAGGCAAAAGATTATCAACCCACTGCCGAGGAATGCGTAATGGATTGAAATCAGTCACAACAGCAGCAATATTTTTGTCTTTCACAAACTTGGAAACTTCTTCAGAAGGATTTCCTTGAAAGAGATGGAAATTTATATCCAGCTTTTGGCAATCCTAAAACAAAAAAAAAAACAAAAAACAAACCATTAATTTAAAATTTTAACAATTTCCAAAAACATCTGATGACATATGTCAGATTTGTACTTTTAGAAAGATTAATCATTTTAAAAAAAAAAAAGATAAAATACTATTAATATTATAAAAAGGGAAATATTTCTTCCAATTTGAAAAGAAATTTTCAAGCCAAAATGATTCACAATCAATATTTAATATAAAATCACTATATAAACTTTTTTCAATTTACCATACCTTTTAAGATATAGAATTTATATTTTTTATAAATACTATACTTCTGTCATTTTCTATAAATATTACTTGCCTCCATGCCATATTTCTTTCCCCCATCAATGTTTACTATTTTTTGCAAATGACTTATTACTGAGCTTACAGAGGTATCAGAGACAAAATATTGGCAAGAGTAATCATTGGATTATCAAAACAAATTGGTTCTACTTTGGATACATTTATAGCTGTACTCAAAATTATTTCTAACTGGAAACCAAAAACTGACACGCTAAATAGACTGAGGATAGTATCAGAAAATGAGAATGCTCAATTATATATCTTCCAAAAGAACACAAAATGTGCTTCATTATAGTTAAATTATAGAGGTTTGTTAAAGTCTTAGTAAATTTCATATAACTTAAGATAACAATATTCTGCCTTGCTTAAAATTGTATTATATATATATATATTTTCTTGTGATGGACAATTTAAAATTGTACTCAATTGTTGTCCATCACAATTTTCCACATATACAACAAACCTTTTCCACTTCCTGAAGGCCTCGGATGACAAAGTCATAATGACGTTCTGTGGCTTCCATAAAAGGAGAAACTAGACAGAAACAAACATGGAGGCTTGTTTTTTCTTTCAGGGCAAGTCTTTGAGCAAACAGCATAGCCCAATTGTCTGTAAAAAGAAAAAGAAAAAGAAAATAAAATAGTGACAAAGCGTGGATTTTTCAAAAACCCAGAAATGTCTCAGTTTAAATTGAGTCTTGGGGTGTAGGAAATGTTTGTCTGGTTGATCATTACTAATTAGTAGTGAGTTTGATTCTCATAGGTTGCCTCATACTAAAAGATTTGAAATTAAATAACTCAACACAGGTTCTCTCAACCAACTAACGTCATCATTTTAATAAAAATTTTAGTAATATTACATTAAAAAAAAAAAAAAAAAAAAAAAAAAAGTGAACTCCGTGAACAATATATTTACCTTGTAATCTTTGATCTCTAACCATCCAGTAAAGAACACCACCATTTGCATCTTGTGGAAATGCATCCACATCTGTTAACATGCGGACACGTTTTTTGTTGAATTTACAATCAAGGATGGATTTGCCATATTGAAGGCGATATTGTTTCACAAGTTCTAGCATATCAGTTTTTTTCAGCTTTTGAACTGTATGCTCAGAATCGGTATCAGAAGAGACTGGACGTTTAGGCATGATGAAGGCAGATGTTTGGAGACGTACTGAATAATAACTGGTAATCTTAAAAAGCAAAAAGAAAAAAAAGTGAAATTTAAAATTAATCTAATATAGTGGAAATACTAAACAAAAAGGAAAAAGTACTACTAAGAAAGAAGACAAAATACAAAAAATGCTATTCAAATAAAAATCATAAATGGTACAATCAAAACAATGAATTTAAGAATAAGCGCAGTATTTACAAAAAATACATCTCATAAACAAAACATCAAAAGAAACTAACGTCAAAAAACAAAAAAGTAACCTCTTGAAAATGGGCAAGGAAATGGCCGAAAAGCGTTTGGAACAATGGACTGTACGGACAGCTTATGTACTCACTTACTTCCAAAGGTAAAAATTATTTATGTTCAAACTAAAAAATGTCAGGAAATTTAGAACTGAACTCTTCATTTAAACTGTTCTCCAGGTATATCTCAACTTGCTCAGTTATTCCTCGCCCTGCTTTCACAGAGTCTGAACTATTCTGAACGGAGATTGATTGAACAATTCAGTTATGTCAGCAAATTCTCGAACCAATGATTTAATCCACTACTGTCCTACTATTATCGCCAAAACCCAAGTTTTTACAATCAAATATAAAAGCTCACAAATAAGTTAAAAATCATGAATGTTAAACTAAAAATTAAAGACAGTTGTTTAGTTTGTATAACATTGGATAAAAACTGTAAGTAATTGAAAGTAAAGTGAGAATGCCTTATTTTTAAATACAAAAAAGCGCTAAAGAAACAATTTGATTATAAAATAAAAAAAGCTTTCAAGGTAAAAAAAGAAAATAATTTAATGATGCACCTGATTTACAAACAAAAATTAAATTGTAAAAATAACTTGATTTTTTTTACCCTTAAAACGACAGCAAAAATAATAAAGGAATTCAAAAAGAACGGTCTTCTCTTCTTGGGCAACCGCAAGTTATGTAAGAATTTTCTTACATAACTTATGGTTGCCCTAATTCTTTTTGTCCATATCCTCATTTTATGAGCAAGCATTTTTCCAAAAATTAAATAATTCAATTTCTCTGACCATTTTTAAAATTTTGCAAAATGAAAATAAAAAGTCGGAGCTACCATTTTTTTTTTTTGGATAAAAACTTATGTATCAGAAATAAAAAACGAAAAGTGTACGAAAAATGCAATTTTGAATTGAAATTTTAATTTACGGTTCATAGTGATGGATAATTAATTAATAATACAAACAGTAAATTTAAAAATAAGAATGTATTTTCGGTTCCTAAATTCACAGAAGCAGGAAAAATGTTTTTATTTTGTTTATACTTACTTTTTCTAGGAACATCCCTCCCTCTACAACATGCAATCCTTCATAGAATATGGGTATCATTTTTTTTTATTAGTAGCGCCATTCTGGTTTTACATCATTATTTACTTTGAAACATATTTTGTTGTATGTGTCATGTTGATGCACAGAATGTTCAATAATTACTCTCTGCTACCTAAGGCTAATTTACTTCGGTTTCCCTGTAGCAGGAGTTCATCAATCGGGGGGGGTCTATGACGTTTTTTTTTTTTTTTTGTAGTTCCCATCCCAGTGCACCACAAGGAGCAACATTTTTTAAACTCAACTGAATACCCACTTGGTGCTAAAATAAAATCCAAATCATATTTCCTGGAAAGTGATCATAATATGAGGTAAGGAAGGTCAAATAATGAATCCGTATGCCAAGAGAAGTAAGACGCAACATTAACAAAGAACCTGAACATTTTAAAATTCAGTTTTGCATTTGACGCTTCATTTCTTGATCGTTTATTAAAAAAAAATTCGTTTAAAAAAAATAAAAACAATTTAATATTTGAAAATATAATAAAGAAAGAGGTAACACAGAAAAAAAAAACTTATCTTATGCATTTAAAAAAGTACAATAAAAAATTCTTATTTCTGGAAATTCATGCTGTTGCTGAAACAACTTCTTGAAAATTTAAAAAAAAACAAAAAAAACTGCGTTCATAGACTAAACGTAAGCCGATAACTCACTAGAAACGAAAAATTACACCAAAAATTCATAATTTAAAAGTGAAAACCGTTACACATTTACAATCGAACTGGTGCTACTTTATGTGTCAGAAGAGAAAGTTTGCTTGTGTTTTAGTTCTCATTCACTAACTAAAATAAAGTCGGACAACAAAAAGGAAATCAAATAAAATCTGATACCTGCTCCAAACAATTTTTACTGCGTACCGATCATAACAAATAATCAGATGACTTGGAGGCGGCTTTTCTCGGTTGAAAATGTTCTTGATAGGACTGTTTGAAAAATACGGATAACTTTAGAGCGGGTAACTATGTTTGACAGAGATAGCTACAATAATAGTAAGTTATGTCCCTTAGGGTTCACCGGTTAGGGGACAGTTTTTTGTTGTTGTTTATGTGTAAGTGCGCAGGTATGCAGAAAATAGAAAAGAACACGTTGGGTGCATAATCCAGGGTTCCTTAGTATTTTTAGTTTATTTTTAAGAAGACAGTGCTCCATACAGAAGTAGAGCTTTATTATAATTCGCTACATAAGAGTTCTCATGTTTCAAAAACGAGAGCCGAAACCATCCAACCATACCCACATCAATAGAGAAAAGAAAGAATAAGTATGAACTCAGCAAATACGGAAATATTCCGACAACACAGTAGTTTTTATAACACAGTCCTGAAAAATAGCGGATAAAAAAACGCTGACATAACCTATAGAAACGACAGTACCAATAATAAGAAAAACAGGAAAAGAAAGATCATCTGGTATACCCCTCCGTACAACCAACTGGTCAGTACAAAATTAGGCCATAAGTTCCTAGCTTTAATTGAAAAGCACTTCCCCACTCATAGCAATCTTAGCGACATCTTTAACAAAAACACCTTGAAATTGAGCTACAGCTGCACTGAAAATATAGAAAGAATCATAAAAAGACATAATAAGAAAATCCTAGAAAAACACACATACCAAAACAGTAATAAAACTCATAAACTACAATTAGATAAAAATAACGGAAAATTATGTGATTGTAGAAACCCTAAAAACTGCCCGCTGGAAAATAAATGCCTCACAAAATCTTTGGTATACCAATGCACTATTTCATCCATTGAGAGTCCTAACACTGATAGGATATACATAGGCTCAACGAAGAATCATTTTAAAATTAGATGGAGGCAACACAAGAGCTCCTTCAACAATATTCAAAATAGAAATCAGACATCTCTATCCCAATATTTCTGGCATCTAAAAGAAACGAATAAAACACCAAAAGTAAAATGGAAAATAGTAAATAAAACAAGAACTTGTAAAACCTGGGATGACCTATGCCCTTTATGCCTACAGGAAAAACTACACATCATTAAATTCCTAAATAATGAAAAATTATTAAACCATAGGCAGGAGTTAATGGTTTTCTGTCAGCATCAACAAACTTTCGCATTAAGTAATTAGCATAAAAAAAAAAAAATCCCATAGCTAAAAGTCTTAAAAGCTTAGCCAAATCATTAAATAGGAAAAACCCTTTTTGTATTCGTCAAAAAACAAAAATAACAAACTAAAATTCAGTGCAATACAATTTGTATATAACACCCACTTGAATAAACAAATAAATAAATAGATAATCCAATGGACAATAATAAAAGACAATTCTCCAGACACATAACGACTTCACTGGGAACCAACTAAAGGGTGACCGCTAACATTAGCCTTGAAATAGATACCCTACCCAACCTTAACAAAACCTCTCAGATGATGAATCTATTGATAAGAATTAACTCTTTGACCACTTAACGAAGGAAAATAGTCTAGCCACTCCCACAATAATGAATTTTGTAACAGACCACGCTTAAAAACACACGTAAACCGAAAGATAACTTATTCCTAAAATTTCACTTGAAGATGAAACGGGACTAAACACCACAATTCAACTTAATTTTAATAGTTATTTGGATGGTTTCGGCTCTCGTTTTTGAAACATGAGAACTCTTATGTAGTGAAGGAATCATATTTTTAATCAAAAAATATTATATCTTATTTATTATAAAACGCAGATTGTGTGTGTGTGTGTGTCTGTACGTTTATATATTGGATCGGATTTCCTACATTTTTCAATCGATTTCAACAAAACTTCACTTTTTTTTGGCAGGTAGTGTTTCTTATTGTCTTGCACACTTTTTTCTTTATTTTTACATTCAGAATGCTTTAAAAATTCCATTTACAAGACAATTGTTTATAATAAAATTCTATTCAATCGATAGACTCATAACGATTGAAAACAATGTTTTTGTTTGAATTTGGGTTTGACCAATTCATAAAAAAAAAAAAAAATACAAACCAAAAAAAACTAATTAAGACATGCGTGTCTGTCAACCTTAAGCAATAATCTTTGTCAATTTTATTTTTCAGTCTTTATGATGGTCGATACTTGATCTATCTCTTACTGTTACATCCCCAGGCAACGCTGGGCTCTACTGCTAGTATATATATATATATATATATATATATATATTATGTATGACCAGCAATAAACTACTAGGGTGATATATTGCTCTCTTCATCTTTCTTAAAATCCAGTCGGTAACATTATGGGTAAATTTGCTTTTTAACGCCCAAACGCCCGTGCGCTTAAATCTCTTAATTTTCCCAAATCGTCATAATTCCATGTAAATGTACATACTTGAGGTCAAGGGGTAGTTAATGGTGTTGGTTAGAAAAGAATCAGAAGGGTTTTTGATCAAGGTTGCGTTTTTACATTAACACTCCATTTTAAATTTGTAAAGAAAACACAAGAATGAATGACAAGAGATCAATAAAAATCAACAAGTAAACATGTATT